TTGCTGAGACTACAGACTGCTTTCTTCTGGCAGCAATGGCCTATGACCGCTATGTGGCCATATGCAGACCACTGCAGTACCACACTCTAATGTCAAAGACACTCTGCATTCAGATGACCACAGGAGCCTACATAGCTGGACATCTGCATTCCATTGTTCAAGTAGGACTTTTATTGAGATTAACTTTCTGTAGGTCTCATCAAATCAATCACTTCTTTTGTGATGTCCTTCCATTATACAGACTCTCTTGTGTTGACCCTTATATCAATGAATTGATGATACTTATCTTGTCAGGATTTGTTCAAATTTTTTCTATTACAGTAGTACTAATCTCTTATTTCTATATTCTTTTCACTATCTTCACAATGAAATCCAAAGAAGGAAGAGGAAAAGGTTTATCTACTTGTGCATCCCACTTTCTCTCTGTGTCAATATTCTATGGTTCTCTGCTCTTCATATATATTAGGCCAAATTCATTTAATGAAGATGATAAAGATATACCTGTTGCTATTTTTTATACTCTAGTCATTCCGTTATTAAACCCTTTCATTTATAGTCTAAGAAATAAGGAAGTAATAAATGTTATCAAAAAAATTATGAAGATATGATATTACAACATTCTTAAACAAATGTTACCTCCATTGGACAATTTATTTTAATTTAATAATAACCTTTTCTTAAACATTCCATCAAATGTTAATTAAATAATTACTGAATACAAAGATAAATTAGTTCCAATTTCTAATAAGCCCAAAAATACTAGAAATAATATTATGTATAATAATAATCATTTAATATTTTCTTTGCAAATTTCTTGAATCACAAAGCATAATCTATAACTCAGGCACATTCCAAAAACTCAGATACTAATATTTATTTGCACAACATTGTCTCTAGGAAGGAAAGCATATTTGAATTTGATTTTTAAAGTGATTTTAGATCTTTCAGGAGATTATGTTTGAATGTGTATGCAGAAAGAATATCTTCATAAGAATATTTTAATTTTAATGTCAGTCATTTTTACTGTTTCTAAATTTAAGTGTATTTTGGTAGTTTATCAATCTGTATTTAAAACCAATGGTATTCCTAGTAAAATACATGAGGATTTGCTCTATCTGTCCTAGATATATAGGATTGTAATTATTTAACATATCAATTAAATCTAGTTTTTTTT